ACAGACTCTGAAACAGGCTCCAGGCTCTGAGCTGGCAGTCAGCACAGAGCCCGACGCGGGGCTCGAACCCACGATCCGTGAGATGATGACCTAAGCGAAAGTCGGACGCTTAACCGGCTAAGCCACCCAGGCGCCCCTCAAAATATGTAATTCCTAATTGACATTGCCTACATGCCTTTCAGGCTACCTGTTACTGCACATGAATCTTTGAAAGGAAAAACACAATAACCAACAAATTGGCCATTTATTCATTTATTAAGCACCTAAGTACCAGGCACCAAGGATACATGTAACCCAAATCTACCTATGGTAGCAAGTCAGTGGCCTATCTTGGAGGAGAGGAGTTTCAAAGGATGTGCCACCGGTAACTGGGCTGACAGACGAAGTGCATTCGAAAGCAGAGCACATGGCTGAACCAAGTATGTGCATGTATGTACAGTAGGCAGTGAGGGGGTAAGATGTGGACACAGCTAAGAAGTTTTAATTTATCCTGAGGGCACCAGCATGTCTCTAAGAAATTCTGGGTTGGCTGATGAGTGAGAGATGAAGACAGTAAACTGTTTAAATGATCATGCTTTGACACAGTTTAGAAGTGGGGCAGAGACTTCGGGGAGAAGTAATGAGGGCCTGAACAGAACAGTCATAGAGGGGTAGAAGTGAAGGGACAGATTTGAGAGAGATTAAAGACAGAGACCTGACAGGACTTGGTCCCCATTTTGTTAGGGAGGGTAGAGTCAAGTGTGTAGCTTATTTCCTGCTAGGATGACTGAGGACCAGTATCCCATTCATTCAGTTTTAGACATGCTAAGCTCCAGATGGCTTCAAGACATCCAGGCGGACACCAGGAAGATTCTGAAGCTCTGAAGAAAGGTTTATGCCAGAAAAAAAGACTGGGAGACACCAGCACATGCAGCTGAAGTTCCAGAGTAGATGAGCTCACACGGAAAAGAAAAAGATCCAAATACACATGTAGAAATTTTTCCTTGGCTTATGAGAAATTTGCTTGATAGAGTTTAAGTTCTAAATTGATCTTTTTTACCACTCTACTGGCTAGCAAGGTGACTGACAACTAATTATTTTAAGTAATTCAATAATTATTTGGAGGGACATGTTTATTTCCTTAGGTTTCAGGCTATTCAAATTATCTCGTAGAACTGAAACCATAGTTAATGTGGATTTAGCTCATCTAGCATGAAGTGGCCATTCAAAGCTAAAACTCATCTGTGTTTTAATTTCTACCTAATTTAAAAAAATTTATCTTTTTATCAAGTGCCCTTGGCCTTGGTGTTAATAAGTGAGGTGAGGTACAAACCTACTTAAAAATGGGGGCGTTTGTAAGCTTTTTTTTTTTGTCCACTGCTTGCCCAGAGCCTGGGACACAGTCTGCCCTCGTTGCTGCCTCTCCCATCCTTCTAAATGGCTTGCCCCTTTCTCTTCCTTCCACACGGCTGGAGTGCTAACAAAATCGAGGGCTGCTACAGTCAATCATCATGCTTGTTCTGTTGGCCCTTCTTTCTTTATCAATAGGGAAGCCAGGCAGTGTTAGCTACAGAATTTAATAGGAGAATGGGAGAGCATCAACCTATCTGATCTGAGGAGGATCAGAGAGAAAGAGGTAAAATGTGTTTGCAGAGTATTTTGAAGGAAGAATAAAGTAACTTCATGTATCCATAGGAAAGTGGGGAGAACCACGCATGCTCCCTACCTCCCACCCCACTGCATCTCACCACAGCCAGGCCCAAGCTGACTCACATCCCTGCCTGAGAAGGCCAGGGGCTTATGGGTTTAGGAATTTCAAAAAACACTCTAATTTCTTATCCTGCATGCCATTCTGCTGCAATATCCCAACATATACCTGCTATTATATCATTCTGTTGTATTAGTTTCATTGCACTTATCAGCATCCAAATTTCATGTATTTCTTAACTTGATTACTCTGTCCTTCTTCATTTGACCAGAAAGTCCAGAAGGGCGGACTCCATGTCTGGTTTTGCTCATCAATAATAAAGCTCCATTTATATATTTCAAGTTTCAAAATTCAAATAAGACCAAAATCTTATATTATGAATTTTCATAATAAGAACTACTTTGTACCCATTCTTTACTTAAAGAATCACAAAATCATAGTCTTTGCACAGAGCTATTTTATTTTTTTCTTTTATAGTTTATTGTCAAGTTGGTTTCCATATAACACCAACTGCAGAGCTATTTTAATAAGACATTCACATTCTTTCTATATGCCTAGGTCAAGATAAAAAATATTATGATATACTGCAGTGGCACTTAACATTTCTCACTTTCCTCCTGTCCCATTTGGCCACCTTCCTTTTATATTTTGTACTATCTCAAATGACAGCATCATTATATCTGACCCATATTATACATCAGAAAACTGGATAAGATCAAAGACCCAACCAATGACTGAGAAATACTGCCTTGCAGTACTGTTTATTTTATCATTACAAATAAGATACTTTGCAAATGGGATAGTTTTTGCCTACAAGCTCCAATATAAATACAAGCAAAATAATACCCAGAAATCCAAGGACTAGAAAGTGAATAAAGATGAGCGCTACAGGGTCCTCTGCTCCCCAGAGACACTGGGTTGAGTATCTGACTCCATCATTTACTCTACTATTTGGTATTCTCTGCTGATGTTAAGGCCACATTTATGACTTATTTACCACTGTCTTTTAATCCCACTTCTGCCATGTACATTGTCTTCTCAGCAAAGGGGCTTGATGATGGCCAAGGAGTTTTTCAGGCCAGAATGACGTGTGCAGTTAAAACTATCACTTACCCCTTTAGACTTCAAACTGCTATTGCAAACATAAACATAGCCCTTGCTTATAACATAACTGTTTATACTTCTGGAATCTTTTGTTTTTCATCCAAAAAAGTGGCATTTAAAACTAAGATTTCATTATGTCCCAGAGAAAATTTTCTTCCATAAAAACAGATATAAAATCTGCATTAGAAAGGCAGAAATTGGAGAATTTGTGCTTTCTTCTTAACTTCCAGATTTGGCAGTTTTTGCTGGAGAAATCCAAGTATGAAAATAATGCACAAATGTTGGAAGAAGCAAAACAAAACAGACCGTGGACCACATCCAGGTACCAAGCTTGGTGTAGCGGGAGACATGTTAGTAGAAGATAAAGTCCTTGCCCTAGAGCAGGCACATCCTATTGGCTCTTCCTCCAAAACACGTCCACAATCCACTCTTCCCCACCTCCATCACACACCTTATTACCCGGATGAAGGTCCTATAATCTTTCAGCTGACATGCACTGATAGCCTGCTGACTGCTGTTCCATACACCTGCGAAGGGCATTACCACCTCGAGGCCTTATACTTGCTTTTCCCTCCATTTTAGAATGCTCTTCCCATATATACACAGAGCTCAACTCCTTCAGGTTTGTGTTCAAATGTTATTGTATCAAAGAGGCCAACCCTGACACTGTATGTAAAATAACCCTGTCTCTCCTATCTAGAATCCTTCTTTACCCCTCTTCATAGCATTTATCATTATCTTACATGGCACATATTACTCGTTTCAGCTACTAGAATGTAAGCTTCTTGAGAGCACAGATGTTTGACTATCCTGTTCACTGCTATATCCTTTGTGTCCAGAATAGATGATGCCTGGCTCACAGTAGGTATTCAAAAAATACTTGTTTGATGACATTTAACTGGTAATTGCTCAAGTTAAGTAATGATACAGAGCAGCATCAAATTAATATTTCAAAACAGTTCATAGTTAATTGTTAATTGAACAGTACAGGCCAGTAATACCCAAAGGTAATATATATAACCATCACTTGGAGAGGTTTTCCAAAATACACACACACAGACCTCACCACAACTGATTCCACCAGGTGGAATTCTGAGCGTATGTATCTTAAACAGCTTCACAGGATGATTTAATTTTGTCTTTATTGTGGCATACTATATATTACATAAAACTTGCCATTTTAACCACTTCCAGGTGATTCTCTATTTTGTACCTATCTAAAACTCCTGGTGTAGTATTATGTCAGTTCAGTAGCCAGAGAAGAGGTGAAAGGGAGATCTTAGAGCATGAGCTTTGCGGCTGAATACAGGTTCACCACTCATTAGCTGGGAGACTGGGCAAGTTACTTAACTCAAGGTTTCCACACCCACAAAATGAAGATGATCTCTATACTCTGTCTTTCCCAATATCCACTCCAGACTGTTTCAAGGTGACAGTAAAGCTAAAATGAAATCGAGTATATAAAATAGCTACTTGGCGCACATAATAGGCATTAAACTAGAACTTACTAGAATTACTTTTGCTGAAATAGGAAAACAAATTTCATACAGAATCAGAAAAAAAGTATGTGGAATCCTGGCATAACAATGAAATTTCTACTGACAGGCCAGGTGAGAGAGAAACGACAGGAGTTCCATAGACATGACCACATTAGAAAAGAGATTTTCAAACTTGATCATGCTTTGAAATCACCTAGAGGGCTTATTTAACACAGACTGCTGGGCCCACTCCCAGACCTTCTGATTCAGTAATTCTGGAGTGGGGCCTGTTAATGTGCATTTCTCACAAGTTCCCAAGAGATGTAGAGGCTTTCTGTATGTCAACCATACCTCAATTAAGTCTAAAAAAGCCAATGAATTAAAGCAAGCATACTCAAACAAAACCTGTGAGATTAATCCCTGCAATATAATCTTTTAATCAAAAAGCTAAAATAGTTCACTTTTGAAAAAGCTATACCCAATAATACATTTATGGCTTTTAGAACAGTAAAATTAAAGAAAAGTCAACTATTACATGATAACACAAGAAAAATTTCATGCCACTGGTATCCTAACGACAAATTCAATCCTGAAAATAAATTCAAAGTTAATTCTTGGAATATTCATTGTGTTGAAAGTTAAAATCTAGATAAAAACAAAATGTGGTAGTTTTAAAAGAACAAGTGTAGCCCATGACTTCTGATGGGTAAATGACAGAAAAGAATACTCACAGGTGTGGAGGCATTCTGTCACTGTAGTTGGCTTGATCAGGTACCCTTTACAGATGTAGCAGGTGATGTAAGGATTGAAATCTTTCACCAAGTGTTTCCTTTGGGTAGCCATTCGTGGTTAGCTAGGACTGGTTTTAGTAGTTCAGGCAAAGAGGGGTAGTAAGTGGATGAAGTCCAATCCCAGGAGCTGGCGTGGAGTTCCCAACTGGATGTCCTGAGGCATGAGAACTAACATCCAGATTCACCATGGGATCGCTGGTCATCACTCCTTTTGGTGGCTCTGTTTTCCCATATCTGTTTCCACAGTAATTTTAAAAAGATAAGAAAAAAGTGTCAAACTCCTCATACTGCATCAGTAACATATTAGTAGCGACTGTTACATGCTCCAAATTGGGTGAACAGGCGAAGAGAAGAACACTTCTCTCACTGTCCCATTCATTTGTAAACCTGCTAGGATTTCATTCAGGGGGATAAAGACAAATTCATCCCATCCTGGAGCCTCAACTATCAAGTCTATACAATGACATCCAAAGCGATTAACTCCAGTTTCTTCAGTAATGCATTTTAACTATCTGCTTGACTGCTCTATTAGGAGTCCTTCCCAATACAAGTTAAAAGATTCAAAACTGAAGTCATTATCCTTCCTATCAAAATGCTTCCTATTTCCATTTTGTACCCTGCATCCAGTCACTGAAATCCGGCTGATGTCCTTTTCCATTCCATCCATAGTCACCCTACTTGAATATTACCTCTCCACCTGCAGTCCATCTTATATTCTACCAGATTTATTTTATTCTATAGCACTTGGGTCCTCTTTTCAAAGACTGTCAGCGTTTCCTCTTTACGAACAGAAAGACATTTAAATTCCTTAGCTTTCCATAGAAGACCTTCCACAGGCTGACCTTAGCATACCCTTCAATAGTTTTCTTCAGGCAAAGTGAAAGGAACATTCTCTCACAGTCCAATCTACAGGCCCTATGTACCCTCTGTCCAATAGCCCTTCCTCTCCTCTAAGTCCTACCTGTATCCTTGGAAACCCTTCTCCAAAGTTATCCTCTGTGTACTCTCTTTTTGAGTTTAACCCTTACTACTCTCCTATTACGTCTTTCTTTTAATTTAATCTATAGTTCCATTCATTCTTTATCTTCTCTACTAGACTACAAATCATTTGATAGGAACTGGTCATATTCAGTAAATGTATAACCTGGGCAATGTTATTATCCTCTCTAAATCTCAGTTTTTTAAACTATAAATGAAGAGTGCCAGCGCCCTAGAGTGCTGAGGATTAAATTAAGACCATAGACATAAAGCTAGCACACAATAAAAAGTGAACATCAGTAACTTTTCCCCCCAGAAATGCTTAGCACAGTTGGCTGGTCCGTGAAGTTGCTGAAGAATAAAGTTCTAAAGGCTTCATATAAACAAATGTGTTCTCTGAGAAAGCACAGCATGAAGGAAGGTAGTGATTTCCTAAATTAATCCTATAAACAGGAACTTTTCTCCTATCTTAGCGGTTAACTCACAGGTAAGAATAAAGCAAAGAGAGAGGTAAAAGGCATCACTCCACTGACACATCGCCATTAAGAATGTACACGATATAGGTTCTGCGTGCTGTCACCCTACCCGCTCAGGAAAACTGTGTAGAGGGCGTAACACAAAGGGAGCATAAGTAACAGCCGGGGTGTGGGGGGGCGGGCTGGGTTCTGGTCCTCGGCCCTTTATGACCTTCTGCAAGGCATTTAATACCCGTGCCTGGGTTTCGGATTCTCTTGTACACACTGGGACTAACTGCCCTGCCTTTTCCACAGGTTTGCCAGGAAGCTCCGAAGTTAAGAGAAAGTCCTCTGAAGGAGGAAATGCACTGTCCCGACCTCATACCACCCGAGCCACAGAGTCCTGTCACCCAGACGGTTAAAGGAAGCAAGTATCTGCAGTGACGCGGAGGAAGGGAACTTTTCCGCGTCCTCCGGAGGGATCCGGCGGCACGGCCCGGGGCGGTCCAAGCACAAGTGAGCCCCGCCCGGCCGGCAGGTGCGCGGGCCCGGAGGACGCGCCGCTCGGGCCGGGCCGGGGCTGCGCCGGGGAAGACGCGCCGCCTCTCCCGGGGCCGAGCGCCCGCAGCCCGCCGCCCTCTCCGCGCCCCAGGCCAGGACGCGGCTCCGAAGCCCCCAGACCCCGGCCGGACACCCCCGCGCCCGGCTGCGAGAGACTCTCCCGGCTCCAGCGAGGCCGGCCGCGGCAGGTGCCTGGAGGTGCCGCTCCCGCCCCGGGCGCAAACTTGGGCAGGGAGCGCGGGGGCGGCCGGAGCCCCTCGGCCGCTCTCAAGCCCGCCCGGTACCTACCCCGCGGCCGCCGCCGCCACCGCCGCCGCTCCTCGCCCGCCAGCGCGCCGGCCTCAGAGGGAAGGAAAGTGAAAGAGAAACAGCGCCCGCCGCGGCCTGGCCGGTCCCCGCGCCCCGTCCGCCCTCCCCCTGCAGGCGGGAGCGCGCCGGCTCCGCGGGGCCACTCGGCTCGGGCCCGATAGGGCGCGGCGGGCCTCGGGGCCCAGAGCCGGTGCCGCCTCCAAGGGCAACTCCACCCCCTTCCAACCGCCGGCGCCGCCAGCCGGCCACGCCCCCGGCCACGCCTCCGGCGCCACGCCCGCAGGCCACGCCCGCCCGCCCGCGCTCCTCGCAGGTGCTGCGGCCTGCCGCCTTGGCTTCAGTGCGGCTCGTAGTAGCCTTGGCCAAATTTCATCTCGGTTCTTCTTCTCGCCTCCCCTCCCGGTTGTTTTCATCATAACAATGTCTGGTACATTTTCCCTGGTGGGTTTAAAAGCAACGGTCAGTGCTCATAATGAGTCACCCTGCGAAACTGTCTACTCAGCTGCGTCTTCCCCAAGCCAGTCCCACCTGCGCAGCAGCGGGGACGAAGACATTCCTTGATTTACACCTTATGTAAAAATCACTAACGAACTTGCTACTGTGGGGTGGGGATCGTGGACAACTGTGAGCAAGGAGGAGCGCCGTGGAGGCGGGGGGTATTAGTAGAAAGGTAAAGAGTTACTACTATTTGCAAGGTTCAAAACAAACAAAAACCCCAGTTCTCTTTGTAGTGGTTTTGAGATCTACAAGAGACCACTTATTGCAAAAAAATGTATTCAAAAGCATGCATTAAAGGATTCCTTAAAGTCATTCAATCCTATTCTACTGCATTCCAAAAACTTAAAATTTCTTCTACAACCACTATTTTGCTAAACATTAAATTAGGCCTGGTTCTTTGCTTCTTAGAAGACTGCAACCCAGTAATCCTAGGGTGGTAGGCAAATCCGTGTGGTCTCCACGCTTTAACTAAAAGTTAAAGCGAACATCCCAAAGGCAATCAGCAAAGGGTGGTTTCAATTTGTGTATGAGGGAAAGGTGTTGCAATTTCATCATCTTTGCTTCTGCAGAAGAAAGAGCAGTGAGGGCTAGGGAACTGACAGCGGGGGGGGGGGGGGGGGGGGGGGGGGGGGGGGGGGGGGGGGGATTAATACAAAGCATTTGTTTGATCTATTGACAAGAGTTACCTTCCTTAGTACCAGAGGAGATGGTTCTAGAGGCCAACAAACCTAACAACCACTGGTCCATCAACCATACAGGTGTTCAAAGATCTATTTCAAATGTGAATACACCAAAGAAGTAGACAGCTTTTAAAAATACCCAACTTATAGGGGCGCCTGGGTGGCTTAGTCGGTTGAGCATCCAACTTTTGCTTAGGTCATGATCTTGCGGTTCGTGGGTTCGAGCCCCGCGTCGGGCTCTGTGCTGACTGCCAGCTCGGAGCCTGGAGCCTGTTTCAGTCTGTGACTCCCTCTGTCTCTGACCCTCACCTGCTCACACTGTCTCTCTCTCTCCTAGAAATAAATAAAACATTTAAAAAAAATAAAAATAAAAATACCCAACTTATAATAAAATTTACGTAGAGTGGACATAACATTTAAAAAATAGCACTGTTAATATTACAGCAAGAGCAATACATTTTCTCAAACAGCTTTCAATGACCACATTCTTATCATCCTTACGAGAACCCTTTTGCAAAAGTATGCATGCCAATTTCCAAGCTAGGATCAACTTCAAAAGGTCACAGCAATCACAATGGGCAAAAAACCAAGTTTGGGCAAATGACTTTATAGCTGAAAGATTGCCTTCAAATCTTTCATCTTGGAGACAAAACAGATGAATGTGTGAAAAGTCATCCTATTTCAAGTGTACGTGAAACATGTAATGCAAGTTATTATTGTGTATTCTGTTGTGTATATACATATATAAATATATTTTTAAAAATCACACTTACTGAAGGTCTAGGGGGGCTTAAATGTGATTGGTGGTCAATAGTAAGTGGGGTTAATCAGCATTCCTTGAGGAAATGAGCTTGAGGATGGGTATTAGGAAGGATTCTATTAGCAATGGAAGAGGGCTGACAAACATGCTAGAGTAGTATCTGAAGATAGATGTAGAGGTGATTTTGCCATAATCAAAACTACAAATGGTGGACTTGGGGATAAGAGAGAGAATTACAACCTTGGTAAGGAAATCTGTGCCTTGTGTCCCCCGAGGTAGCATAAGATATAGTAAGTGCTCAGTGGTGCCTCCTCTTGCCTCTTTGGCAACCACCCACCTTTCCCATTCCAAGAAAAAAAAATGCACGCACAAAAAAAGAAAAGAAAAGAAAAGAAAAGAAAGGAAGGAAGGAAGGAAGGAAGGAAGGAAGAAAGGAAGGAAGGAAGGAAGGAAGGAAGGAAGGAAGGAAGAAAAAAAACCCTCAAACATTTGTCTGGTTAAAAAATTAATATCAAAAGAAATGGCAAGAGGGAATGTTACAAAGGGACAAGTTTCCTGACCTATGTGTAAGTTCTGAGCCTCTAAACATGGGACCTTCAGTGGCTGTGTTTCCTCTTCTTCCTTGGGAACGCTTGCCAGTAACTTACCTCTGAGTCCTTTGGTTCTAATGGTGGGGTTGGAACAAACCACAGAAGCTTCCATATAAGCAGGTGGCTCTGATAACAAATCTCAAGTACCGGTGAGACTCTCAAATGAAAAAAGGCCTGGAAGCAACTGGATATACAGAAAGGGCAGGGGGTGGGGTGGGGGGAGGGCACATAAAAGAATCATCACTGGGAGTCCCCTTATTACTAATCTACTTTAGCTTTTTCATTTTACAAATGTAGAAACCAAAATCTGGGGAAGTGGCAAGTTCATAATCACAGACCTGCTTTTGGTAGAGCCAACACCAAGACAAAGGTACCAGTCCATATCATTTACATCTCTCAAAGGGAACTTCCTAAGTCCGGGATTTTAGGGGAGGTTTGGTAAGAAACAAATTAACTTAAAAGAAAATAAGGAACAAAGGGAGAGAGAGACAGTGATAATTGCCTATATGGTATGTAGGAGGGAACAGCCACTAGTGATTTCCTATCAAAGAAGCATCATCCCAAAGCAATAACTTGTTTCATTTGATCATCGATCCAGACTCTTCCGAGGAACCACAAATGCCTTTTGATAGCCCTTGGAACTATTTGGAGGTATCTGTATACCTAACAAATGTTTTCATTACTTTATATTTTATGTCTAGATTTTTATTTCAGTTAAGGGTGGGTAATAAGAATAGAATAAGTAATTCTATACTGAAGAGTTGATATTCTGTCCTTGGCTAATAATATCTTATCAGTGAACTGACGTTTAATAGCATAATGTTTAAAAATCAGGTTAGAACTTTATTTACATTTCCCCTGGGATATTAAATAAGATGGCTTTTTCATTATTGTAAATTATTTTATACACTTAAGTATGCTATTTAATCTTTTTACACAGAGTATCTCTAACATAAAACCATCCTCTGTAATCTAAAAGTCTTCCTACAGAGATTTTAGAAAATATTAAAATTTAAAGTATCCCCTTGGGCCCAAATGTATTTATTTTATAGCCATGGATATTACAGCTCAAAATCTAGGACTACCTAAAATCAGTGACAGTGGAATGAAAGGGGAGCAGAATTGAAGGACTTCCAATCACCCTCAACCATGTCTCGTTTTCTCTTAATGTAGCCCTCCCTTACAATCAACAATTGTCAAGGACTTTCTCTACTAAATGTCTCTTGAATCCTCCCACTTACCCTGCCCTGGTTGAGATTACAATCATGTCTACCCTCTATCACTTCAATGAACTCTTAGACAGCTGTAGCTCTTGTCTGCCAAACCATTCTCCACAACATAACCAGAGGACTCTCTAACTACAAATTGGATCATGTTGCTCCCTAGTTTAAAAAAAAACAAAAACAAAACAAAAAAAAACACCAGAAACAAAAAAAAACCTGTTCTTAGGCTAACAGCCCAAACATTTAATAAACCCATCCCAGATTCCCATTCCTTCCACAGCCTTTCACTTGAACTCTAGGCTGCATAATAATGAACATTTTTACCCTCTAACTACAGGGGGGTGGGGGGGAGGGGTCCTTCTTTCTTTCAAATGAGCATTCTGTCCCAGTTCCCACACCTCTCCCCACCCCTGCTAAATCTGGTCAGCCCTTGTTTTTCCTTTAGGTATCAGGAAATCTCAAAGGCCACTTTCCAAGACACCTTGAAACTGCTGAAGAGCTTCTGTGATATACTTACACCATACACCTATGTGACAACTCGGTTTATTCTCTCAAATCCCATGCCACACTGTCTTGGATTACCTGCCTTACTTGGCTGAGCCCCCAACTGGTGTGTAAGCCCAGGGGATCCACTGCTTGACTGTGCTTCACTAGCACAATGGATGGCAAATGGTACGCATGCAAATAAATATCGACTGAAAGCTGAATATTTGTAGGTACTCTAAGACATATTCTCTGTATTCTTTCTCTGGTTTCTTCTTGGAGGGACCTTCCCATAGATGTGTTAGGCATAATCCCTGCCATCTAGGACTACTAATTGAAATCACAACAGGGAAGAGAGACTTATCCACAAGAAATAAGTAGGGAGCAATACACCGTATTTATTAATAAGCTGTTAAACGACAAAAACTTGAGCCAAATAAGGACTGCTATGGGTGGTCAAAAAAACTAATCCTACATGCTTATGACTCTGCCAGTAATAAAGACAACAAGGCAAAATACCAAAAGCTATGGGTATGAAAAATAAATGAGAAAGTCAGGAAAAAAAGAGAAATTAAGTCAAGATACTAAAAGTGAGTACAAATAAATAGTATTAGGTATAGGGACAGGATTAGCTTGTGAAACACAGTGTAACTAGCTCAATACTTTTAAATGCCTTAAATACATTATGCTAAAGAGGCAGGCCAACAAAACTTGTTTTTTTCCTCTTTTGAGAGGCAGAAAAAATGAGCTGTATTTTCTTACTGTGATTTCAACAGTTGGCTGGAGCAAGTTCCATTTACACTGGAAGAACAGAGAATGTAGCTAAAATAGGTATAGACTATAAGGAAAAACTGCATTTACTCCAATCATCAGGGCTATGGATATTTTAAAACATCATGACAAAACCA